ATTCATCAGGGATATTGATCTGAAATTCTCCTTTTCGGTGGGGTCTTTGCCTGGTTTGGGGATCAAGATAATGCTGGCTTCATAAAAAGAGTCTGGAAGTTTTCCTTGTGCTTCAATTTTTTGAAACAGCTTCAGGAGAATAGGTATTATTTCTTCTTTGAAAGTTTGGGAGAATTCCCCAGGGAATCCATCAGGTCCTAGGCTCTTGTTTTTGGGGAGATTTTTGATCACTACTTCAATCTTGTTATTAGATATTGGTCTATTCAGGTTTTCAATTTCTTCCTGATTCAGTTTTGGAAGTTTATAGGTTTCCAGGAATTCATCCATTTCATCTAGGTTGCTTATCTTATTGGCATATAACTGTTGAAAATAATTTCTGATGATTGTTTCTATTTCCTTGGTGTTAGTTGTGATCTCTCCGTTTTCTTTCTTTTTTATTTTTAAAGATTTTATTTATTCATTTGACAGACAGAGATCACAAGTAGGCAGAAAGGCAGGCAGAGAGAGAGGGGGAAGCAGGCTCCCCACTGAGCAGAGAGCCCAACGTGGGGCTGGATCCCAGGACCCGGAGATAATGACCTGAGCCGAATGCAGAGGCCTAACCCACTGAGCCACACAGGTGCCACAGATCTCTCCATTTTCATTCATAATTTTATTAATTTGGGTCTTCTCTCTTTTCTTTTGGATTAATTTGGCCAATGGTTTATCGATCTTATTGATTCTTTCAAAAAAACCAGCTTCTAATTTCGTTGATGTGTTCTACTATATCTCTCGTTTCTATCTCATTGATCTCTGCTCTAATCTTGATTATTTCCCTTCTTGTGTGTGGGTTGGCTTAATTTGTTGTTGGTTCTCCAGTTCTTTAAGGTGTAAAAACAGCTGGTGTATTCTGGATTTTTCAATTTTTTTTGAGAGAGGCTTGGATGTCTATGTATTTCTCCCTTAGGACCGCCTTTGCTGTATCCCATAGGTTTTGGATCGAAGTGTCTTCATTCTCTTAGGTTTCAATGAATTATTTAAGTTCTTCTTTGATTTCCTGGTTGATCTATACATTCTTAAGCAAGGTGGTCTTTAGCTTCCAGGTGTTTGAATTCCTTCCAAACTTTTTCTTGTGGTTGAGTTCCAGTTTCAAAACATTGTAATCTGAGAATATGCAGGGAATAATCTCAATCTTTTGGTGTTGGTTGAGCCCTGATGTGTGACACAGTACATGGTCTACTCTGGAAAATGTTCCATGTCTGCTCAAGAAGAATGAGTATTCTGTTGTTTTAGGGTGGAATGTTCTGTATATATCTATGAGATCCATCTGGTTCAATGTGACATTCAATGCTCTTGTTTCTTGATTGATTTTCTGCTTGGATGATCTATTACTGAGACTGGCATGTTAAGATCCCCTACTATTAATGTATTCGTGGCAATATGACTCTTTATCTTGATTAACAATTGTCTTAATGTAGTTGGCTGCTCCCATATTGGGGGCATAAATATTTACAATTGTTAGATCTTCTTGGTGAATAGACCCTTTAAGAATGATGTAGTGTCCTTCTGTATCTCTGACTGAGTCATTAGTTTAAAATCTAATTTATCTGATATGAGAATCGCTACCCCAGCATTCTTTTGAGGCCCATTGGCATGAAAGATGGTTCTTCATCCCTTCAATTTCAGTTTGGAAGCATCCTTAAGTTCAAAATGGATCTTTTGTAGACAGCATATGGATGGGTCCTGTTGTTTTATCCAATCTGCAACCCTGTGCCATTTTATGGGAGCATTTAGGCCATTCATGTTGAGAGTGATTATCTATGCCCACTCTCACCACTCTTGTTCAACATAGTGTTAGAAGTCCTAGCAACAGCAATCAGACAACAAAGAGAAATAAAAGGTATTCAAATTGGCAATGTCTAAGTCAAACTCTCTACACAGAAGACATGATACTTTATATGGAAAACCCAAAAGACTCCACCCTCAAACTACTAGAACTCATACAGCAATTCAGTAATGCAGCAGGATACAAAATCAATGTACAGAAATCAGTTGCTTTCTTATACACTAACAATGAAAATACAGAAAGGGAAATTAGAGAATCGATTCCATTTGCTATAGCATGAAGAACCATAAGATACCTGGGAATAAACCTAACCAAAGAGGTAAAGGATCTGTACTTGAGGAACTACAGAACACTCATGAAAGAAATTGAAGAAGACACAAAAAGATGGAAGACCATTTCATGCTCTTGGATCAGAAGAATAAACATTGTTAAAATGTCTAAACTGCCTAGAGTGATCTATACTTTCAATGTCATTCCGATCAAAATTCAACCGGAATTTCTCAAAGAGCTGGAGCAAACAATCCTAAAATTTGTATGGAATCAGAAGAGACCCCGAATTGCTAAGGAAATGTTGAAAAAGAAAAACAAAACGGGGGACATCATGTTGCCTGATTTCAAGCTTTACTACAAAGTTGTGATCACTAAGTCAGCATGGTGCTGGCACAACAACAGACACATAGACCACTGGAACAGAGTAGAGAGCCCAGATATGGACCTGCAACTCTATGGTCAACTAATCTTCAACAAAGCAGGAAAAAATATACAGTGGAAAAAAGTCTCTTCAATAAATGGTGCTGGAAAAATTGGACAGCTATGTGTAGAAGAATGAAACTCGACCATTCTCTTACACCATACACAAAGATAAACTCGAAATGGATAAAAAACCTCAATGTGAGACAGGAATCCATCAGAATACTAGAGGAGAACATAGGCAGTAACCTCTTTGACATTGGCCACAGCAACTTCTTTCAAGATATGTCTCCAAAGACAAAGGAAACAAAAGTGAAAATGAATTTTTGGGACTTCACCAAGATCGGAAGTTCTGCACAGCAAAGGAAATAGTCAACAAAACAAAGAAGCAACCCATGGGATGGGAGAAGATGTTCGCAAATGACAGTACAGACAAAGGGCTGATATCCAAGATCTATAAAGAACTTCTCAAACTCAACACACACAAAACAGATAATCATGTCAAAAAATGGGCAGAAGACATGAACAGACACTTCTCCAATGAAGACATACAAAGGGCTATCAGGCACATGAAAAAATGTTCATCATCACTAGCCATCAGGGAGATTCAAATCAAAACCACATTGAGATACCTTCTTACACCAGTTAGAATGGCCAAAATTAACAAGACAGGAAACAACAAGTGTTGGAGAGGATGTGGAGAAAGGGGAACGCTCTTACACTCTTGGTGGGAATGCAAGTTGGTGCAGCCAATTTGGAGAATAGGGTGGAGATTCCTCAAAAAATTAAAAATAGATCTTCCCTATGACCCGACAATTGCACTGCTGGGTATTTACGCCATCTATACAGATGCAGTGAAAGGAAGGGCCACCTGTACCCCAATGTTCATAGCAGCAATGGCCACAGTTGCCGAACTGTGGAAAGAACCAAGAGGCCCTTCAACGGACGAATGGATAAAGACGATGTGGTCCATATACTATGGAGTACTATGCCTCCATCAGAAAGCATGAATACCTAACTTTTATATCAACATGGATGGGACTGGAAGAGATTATGCTGAGTGAAATAAGTCAAGCAGAGAGAGTCAATTATCATATGGTTTTGCCTATTTGTGGAGCATAAGGAATAATACAGAGGACATGGGGAGTTGGAGAGGAGAAGGGAGACATGGAGAGAACCACGAGAGACTGTGGATTCTGAGGAACTACCTGAGGGTTTTGGAGGGGAGTGGGGTGGGAGGTTGGGTGAACCTGGTGGTGGGTATTGTGGAGGGCACATATTGCATAAAGCACTGGGTGTGGTGCATTAACAATGATTTCTGGAACACTGAAAAGAAATTTAAAAAATAAATAAAATTTAAAAAAAGAAATAAAAACCCTTTTATTATAATTGATATTAATAAAATGTTTTAATAGAAAAAAGTGTAAGTTAATGACACTCATGAGGATAGTCATAAAATTCTAAGCTAATTATTAAGTTGTAGATTATTTAGAAATGACCATTCCCTCCCAGTAGTATATGGTTGGTTTAAACATAGGACGATATGTATGTAATTCACCACATAAACAGATTAATGAAGGGAAAAATCCTACAATCATCGGAATAAGGGCACTCCAAGTGTTTGATGGAATTCCACATATATTCAATACAAATATTCATAGCAAATGAAAATAAGAATGGATCATCCTTTAGTTCACAGTATATATAGTAAAATGTTAAATATTTTCTAATTTATCAGGAGTAAGACAATGCTGTCCATTGGGACCAGTTCTTTGCAACATGGTACTGGGTGGGTCTGTCCTATGTAAAATGAGATAAAAAGGCAAAATGTTTAAAATGGCAGAAACAGGGACTTCTGGATGGCTCAGTCCGTTAAGTGTCTGCCTGTGGCTCAGGTCCTGGGATCAAGTCCCACATCAGTCTCCTTGTTCTGCACGGAGTCTGTCTCTCCCTCCCCACATTTGTACTCACTCTGTCTCTGACAAATACATAAAACCTTTAAAACAAATAGAATAAAATGGAAGAAACACTCTGGCAGTGTTCTAAGTTGACATAATTGTGCATGTCAAAACTCAAAATGGATGTTGGCATATGCTTCTTAAAATCAGAGGTAGCATGGCTGCTGGACAGAAATTCAATGTACAGATACATCTGTGTACATAAGCTCCATCAGAATATAACATTTCAAAAAAATGACATAATTTTTGATAGGACATGCTACTTAGAATAAGTTTTTCTTTAAAGATTTATTAATTTGAGAGAGAGAGAGAGGCAGGGAGGGAACAGGAGCAAAGGGACAGAATCTTTCAAGCTGACTCCTCATGGAGCATAGGGCCTGACTTGGGGTACATCCCATGAGCAATGAATTATGACCTGAACTGAAACCAAGAGTCAGGTGTTTAAGTGACTGAGCCACCCAGGCACGCCCTACTTGGAATAAGTTTAACACAGATTTCAAAAGATTCATTAGAGAAGGTTCATAAAACTTTATTGAGAGAATTTCAACAGAGAAGTACCCCCACATAAGAGTAGTTTGCATGTTCCAGCTTGTTCTTGTTTAAATCTGGGGCTGTCCTTCACCTGTAAGATAGAACAGTTGGAAACTTTACTCAGCAGAACTGTATTTCAAGTAAATTAATGGTACAGGAAGGACGCTATCGTTTTAATTTTTTTTAAGATTTTATTTATTTATTTGACAGAGAGAGATCACAAGTAGATGGAGAGGCAGGCAGAGAGAGAGAGAGAGAGAGGGAAGCAGGCTCCCTGCTGAGCAGAGACCCCCCGATGTGGGACTCGATCCCAGGACCCTGAGATCATGACCTGAGCCGAAGGCAGCGGCTTCACCCACTGAGCCACCCAGGCGCCCTATCGTTTTAATTTTTTTAAGAGAGAATTCCAAGCATGTATTTTACCAAAAGTTTTTTGAACATACCACACTTTCTACTGGTACAACAAGACAAAAAGACAGTTCATTTTCACAACACACAAAAGGAAATGAGCCTCAGTGGGTTAAGGCCTCTACCTTCAGCTCCGGTCATGATCCCAGGGTCCTGGAATCGAGCCCTGCGTGGGGATCTCTGCTCAGCACAGACCCTGATTCCCTTCCTCTCTCTCTGCCTGCCTCTCTGCCTACCTGTGATCTCTGTCAAATAAATAAATAAAATCTTTAAAAAAAAGGTCGCTTTAAACGGAAAGCAAAAACTGAATGTAGTTTCACAAAAAACCCAAAGAGCATGCAAAGAACTAAAAAACACAAGAAATTTACATGTAAGTCTCATTTAAAGGCTTCAACTTGAAATAATATTCTAATACATGATGCTGAAGGAATAATGCCAAGTTGGTTACTGCTTCAGTGATGTTAGAGAGAAAAGAGCACCACATATAATTTAGTTTTGCTTATGATTAATTGAAAAACTTTTCTGTCAGTTTAATCCTTATGTCCTGGGTTAAGCAGGGTAACCATTTGCCTTAATGATGTTTGCCTTAATGATGTTTGCCTTAATGGTGTTCCAGTTGGTTGAATAGATTATATGGTCACACACTTCACACCTGTCACAATGGATAAAATTAACAACACAGGAAACAACAGATGTAGGCGAGGAGCTGGAGAAAAGGGGAACCCTCTTATGCTGTTGATGGGAATGCAAACTGGTAACAGTAACTGTGGAAAACAGTAAGGTTGTTCCTCACAAAATTAACAATAAACCTACCTTGTGACCCAGCTGTTACACCAGGAGGTTTTAACCCAAGGGACACAAAACTTCAGAGTCAAAGCGGTACAAGCACCTCAATGTTTATAGCAGCGTTATCAATAATGGCCAAACTATGGAAAGAGCCCAAATGTCCATCGACTGATGAATGGATAAAGAGGTACACACACACACACACACCGTGGAATATGACTCAGTCATCAAAATGAATGAAATCTTGCCATTTGCAACAATGTGCTTAGACCTAGAGTGTATTAAGCTAACAGAAATTAAGTCTGTCAGAGAAAAACAAATAACATGATTCCACTCATATGTAGAATTTAAGAAACAAAACTGATGAACATATGGGATGGGAAAAAAGAGAGAGAGGGAAGCAGACCTTGAGACATAACATAGAGAACAATCTGAATGTTGATGGAGAACGATGGCTTGGGGATGGGCTAAATGGGTGATGGGTATTAAGGAGGGGACTTGTTGTGATGAACACTGGGTTTTATATGTAAGTGATGAATCACTAAATTCTACTCCTAAAACCAATATCACACTATGTGTTAACTAACTAGAATTTAAATTAAAAAAAAACACAACAGGAATAGGTATCCATAGAGAAACACAGACAGCCACCATTGTGTTTTGTTCTCAGTGGAAGTCAAATCTCAATTTACATGTTAAAATTTGACCAAAGGTGTTATCTCATTAAAAAAAAAAAATCATACAAGGGGCGCCTGGGTGGCTCAGTGGGTTAAAGCCTCTGCCTTTGGCTCAGGTCATGATCCCAGGGTCCTGGGATCAAGCCTCACATCAGGCTCTCTGCTAGGCGGGGAGCCTGCTTCCCCCTCTTTCTCTGCCTGCATCTCTGTCTACTTGTGATCTCTGTCAAATAAATAAATAAAATCTTAAAAAAATCACACAAAATGGAACAAGTTTGTATTCTGTGTATGGTATCCAACAGAACAACAGAATACAAATATCAGCATTAAAAGTGATTGTAATATATCTGAATTGAATTCAAGATATACATGAGTAAAGATGGGTTCATTAAGTTAAGGGATTCTTAGAGAATCAACTAAGTTATGTTAGAGCGGGTAGTAGAAACTCCCTCAGTGCCTCAGCATATTTCATACAAACTGATATTCAATCCAAATGAATTTTGTGTTTGATAACAGCAGAACAGAAGAATCTGAGTTTTATTAGCTGTTCATTGAAGTATTTACATTCAAACAAGACAATTTTTTCATATTTTATGATATAATAAGGCTTTGACCCAATTTGTTTCTCTGTCTACTAGTCAGGCCATCAGGATGTTGGGTTTGAACTACTTGGGAAAGTATCTTCATATGTAAAGTCTGTTATTAATGAATCATTAAAGTTATATATACATGAATAAATATATAGTATTCAGGAAAAGACTTTCATACTTTGCACAGTCAACCGATAACGTACCTGCTTCCGGCATTTTAACGGACTCTAAAAAGGGCAGATTTCTCCCCTTGACATCAGGGTCATCTTCAGTTATACACCCAGATTTTGCCCGAGGAAGCTCCTGGAGATCAGCTTCTAGGTCTGGTCCTTAAAACATAAAGTTATTCAACTGAAGCAATAAATAAGAAATTTACAGAATCAAGAGCCTATAGATTAGTGTGATAAAAAATAACGTGATGAAAATATGCGTTTCATATCCTTGTTTTCCTGCAGTAGGATAGGCTTTATTTCAAGAGACATTCTAAAGATAAAGCCCACTGTACTTCATTTCCTTTCTATTACCATAGTGTTCTAGGAATAAATAGCATCAACTAGCTAAGAAATCAAGTTTACACCATGCATAAGATTTTATTTAAAAGTAAAATGGAGTTTTCTAAAGGATGAGCTGCATGTATTCGTGAGCTTTTAACGAATCCCATCCTGGTGACACCCATTCCCTATTAGGGCAACCTGCAAATTATTGTCAAATTTTACTAGTTAGATTTCAGGGCAAAGTCCCCAGTGTAACCTAGGATAAAAGAATCATGTATAGAACAAAGTTCCAAAAGCAACAACAAAACATTAGTGATTAATAGTCTAACTTGTGTCTTACAGTGAGAATAAAAGAAGGAGGGTGGAAAGAACTCAATGGACTTTGTTGTCAGTTGTACTGTGGAAACCGCTTAAAAGGGAATAATCCGTGCTCTGAACAGTGTCAATAATTCACTACAAGTACTTGATGAAAATGCTCTATTTGGAAGACATTCAATTCTTGTTTCATGATCATTTTAAGATACATTTGATTTTCCTAATCACAAAAGTATTTACACACCTTTCAAAGCCGCTTAATAATCATACTAATATAGTGACCCTAATGCCAGTTTCTTGAATTATGCAGCTCTTACAAAACGTACCATATTAAATGATTAATCAGAAGTGGCTATCATTCATTGAGCTCTTTTCTGGAGTCTGTCTCTTGCTCCACTGAACTGGATTAATTCCTGTGCCAGTAGTAAGCTACGTTACTGTACAGACACATTTGAGTAGTAAGCATTCTATAGAGAACCACTCCCTTGTTTGTACAGCAACACAGATGGTAGAAAGAATACAAACCTCTTTTTAAATTCATATTTTAAGTAATCTCTACTCTCAGTATGGGCCTTGAACATTCCACCCCGCCATCAAGACTCACACACTCTACCAAATGAGCCAGCCAGGTTCCCCAAGAACACAAACCTTGTAATGAAATATGCATTGAGTCTCCATGTGTCAAGCAGTGTTTGGGAAGCCACAATCCCCGAGCCTTAGTTTTCTCATTTCTAAAATGCAGCTCCCATCCCTAGGCAAATCAGCCTTATTCCTCACGTTGTAGGGTATGCTGACTTGGCACTCTGCCTGTGCTGCTGAAAACTGCTTGCGCTTTCCATGAAATGAGTGAAAAGGCCCCACAAAAATGTGCTAAGAAGATCAAATTAAACTAGGGAAATGATGGATAGTTTGTAGTTAAACATTTTCCTCCCCTTTAGAAAAGACTGCATTTTCAGGCACACCGATTAATTCCTGAGGAAAAGGGGAAAGTCATTATGGTGAAGGACTACATGAAGATGCACACTCTACACTCTTCACATTTTCAACCCATCTTCCAGAAATGACTGAAATTCTCTTCTCATCTTTTCTTTCCTCCTGTCATGGTTTGTCATAATGCACAATGCACACATAAAACCCCCCCTGCCCCCACAGACATTCTTCTTCCCTTTTCCTTCACCTTGAGCCACAGGTGCTCCCTCCACTTCCTTCCCAGGTTCAGGTTTCATATCCTGGCTCTCAGGTGGTGCCTCCTTTTGTTTTGGTTTCTCATCCGTGGGTTGCTGCATCTAGGGGTGTGTGTTTATGTGGACCAATAAAAAGTTGTGTGGTTAATACATGCTGACAGTGTAAATAGACATCAGACATTTGGATATCAAATAATGAATAAGCATAAAGACACTCCCACATCATGATTCTATGTGCTTATTCTTAAAAGGGACTCTTCCCACAGAGCGGCTACTCCAAGAGGTAGCTACAAGCACTTTGGAGTCTACTGTAAACTCTGCTGGGATGGATATGTACAATTGGTGCTTAATTAGCATGAAAAAGAAGACATAGACTATTTCCACAGGCACCAGAAATATGGAATCCTCCTGGTTCACTGTTTCCCTCCCTTTATCAGCAGAGAAGATTTTATCACAGTATCTGTATGTCGGTTGGTAGCTCAACAAAATTTCTAGAACAATACACATATGGTAGTCCAAATCATCCAATATGGAAGTACTCACACCCACATGCTGTTTAGACCCTGGGTCAGCTTTTCTGTGTTTAGATTTGGATCTTGATCTGACTCGGCCACTCATAGTTCACCCTGAAAGTAGAATACTGGTATTTGGAAAATGTACTCTGAAGGAGTATATCACTTCTAAGGCCACAGGTTTAATTGTTTCTTACTTTGAAAATATGTTGAAAGCCAAACTAGTATCAGTATAGTATACACGCTGTGTTCACACCAAATACACGGGCTGCAAGATCATCTACTTCAGGCTGGCCGTAAAATCACCTTAGGCACAGGCTAAAACACGAGGCTTAGTCTCCCAGCTAGATTCCCCAGTTTAAAAGCCATTTGAGAAAATAGTGCTGGACATTTAAAACTGATTCGCTAGGGCTACAATGGTTACATTGCCATTTACAAAGCTCATTTTACTGCCTTAAATAATGTTTTGTTGGACGCAGAGAAAGAAACAATCCTTTACATACTGCCTATGGCTGTGTCTGCGCTGCAAGGGTTCAGGTGTCTGGTCGTGAAACAGACTCATGGGCTGACTCCTGCAATGACACTGCATCATGCACTGAAAATCTTGGGGACCCAGTAACAAGCTCCCAGATTTCCCCGCTTCCTGGTCTTTTCTTTACCTCCCGGTCTGCCCCCTGCCCAGGGTCCCACAGAGGATCCTGGCCTCTGTGCTCTGTGGGCAGTTGCAGGTGCTCCTGGTCTCAGAGACCTTGACTAACAACCCTGCCACCCGGCCCTTGCCCCATCTTCATGTCCCCTCCTTGGCCCACCAACCTAGTTTGCCCTGAGTCCACCATGAGGACAAGCGCAATGGCGGCCGAGACACCCGTCAGGGGAAGGGCCTTGGCACTTCCACCTAGGACGCCACAGCTCTGCTGTCCCCACCTACCCAAGGCCCACTGGCTCCCTCCCCATCCTCACTCACATTTAAGCTCCTGGAAGGACTGATGTGGGGACCTACCAGTTGAATTCAGGTAGCGAGAAAGCTCACAGCACAGCGAACAGAACTGCCTCGATCAAACTCAGCTCTGCTCTCAGAACACGGGCAGCAATGCGCATGCCCAGCAAGAGTTGTACACAGCAATGAGCATTCACACTGTTTGCTCACCAATGAACATGCGCACTGTTAGCTCACAGCAATGAGCATGCACACAGAGTGAGGTGGGTGCAGGGTGGGTTGAGGTTTTCCCACCTGTGCTGCTGCGGAGATTCACAGCTACAGGGTCTGCCCAGGAGGAGAAAAGAGGCTTGAACAGCCTCTTTCTGAAACCACCCAATCTCTCCTCTGCATCCAGATACTTTGGGGATAGAAAGCTGCAAATCACCATTAGTGCCCAATGTTTATCAGAAAGATAACTGTGATGAAAATAGATATTAATTTTTTAAATAAATATACATTTTGATTATTCCTTTCTTTTTAAGCTCTGGCTTGTCTGTCATACTTGAATGAATTTGCTCACCTCTGCATGATAAACACATTAATACCTGTTTGCTTTTTCTCTGTAACTGCACATTTTTTTTAAAAAAATATTTTTTTAATTACTTTCCAGTGTACTAGAATTCATTGTTTATGCACCACACTCAGTGCTCCGTGCAATATGTGTCCTCCACAATACCCACCACCAGGCTGGCCCAACTTCCTACCCCCTACCTCTTCAAAATCCTCAGGTTGTTTTTCAGAGTCCATAGTCTTTCATGGTTCATCTCCCCCTCCAATTTCCCTCAACTCCCTTCTCCTCTCCATGTCCTCCGTGTTATTTCTTATGCTCCACAAATAAGTGAAACCGTGTGATAATTGACTCTCTCTGCTTGACTTATTTCACTCAGCATAATCTCTTCTAGTCCCATCCATGTTGATACAAAAGTTGGGTATTCATCCTTTCTGATAGAGGCATAATACTCCATAGTGTATATGGACCACATCTTTCTTAGCCATTCGTCTGTTGAAGGGCATCTTGGCTCTTTCCACCATTTGGCGACCGGAGTCATTGCTGCTATGAACATTGGGGTACAGATGGCCCTTCTTTTCACTACATCTGTATCTTTGGGGTAAATACCCAGTAGTGCAATTGCAGGGTCATAGGGTAGCTCTATTTTTAATTTCTTAAGGAATCTCCACACTGTTCTCCAAAGTGGCTGCACCAACTTGTATTCCCACCAACAGTGTAAGATGGTTCCCCTTTCTCCACATCCTCTCCAACACTTGTTGTTTCCTGTCTTGTTCATTTTGGCCATTCTAAGTGGTGTAAGGTGGTATCTCACTGTGGTTTTAATTTGAATCTCTCTGATGGCTAGTGATGATGAACATTTTTTCATGTGTCTGATAGTCATTTGTATGTCTTCATTGGAGAAGTGTCTGTTCATGTCTTCTGTCCATTTTTTGACATGATTATCTGTTTTGTGTGTGTTGAGTTTGAGGAGTTCTTTATAGATCCTGGATATCAGCCTTTTGTCTGTACTGTCATTTGCAAATATCTTCTCCCATTCCGTGGGTTGCCTCTTTCTTTTGTTGACTGTTTTCTTTGCTGTGCAGAAGCTTTTGATCTTGATGAAGTCCCAAAAGTTCATTTACTATAGCACCAAGAACCATAAGATACCTGGGAATAAACCTAACCAAAGAGGTAAAGGATCTGTACTCGAGGAACTACAGAACACTCATGAAAAAAATCGAAGAAGGCACAAAAAGATGGAAGACCATTCCATGCTCGTGGATTGGAAGAATAAACATTGTTAAAATGTCTATACTGCCTAGAGAAATCTATACTTTTAATGCCATTCCAATCAAAATACCACCGATATTTTTCAAAGAGCTGGAGCAAACAATCCTAAAATTTGTATGGAATCAGAAGAGACCCCGAATTGCTAAGGAAATGTTGAAAAAGAAGAACAAAACTGGGGGCATCACGTTGCCTGATTTCAAGCTTTATTACAAAGTTGTGATCACTAAGACAGCATGGTGCTGGCACAAAAACAGACACATAGACCACTGGAACAGAGTAGAGAGCCCAGATATGGACCTGCAACTCTATGGTCAACTAATCTTCAACAAAGCAGGAAAAAATATACAGTGGAAAAAAGACAGTCTCTTCAATAAATGGTGCTGGAAAAATTGGACAGCTATGTGTAGAAGAATGAAACTCGACCATTCTCTTACACCATGCACAAAGATAAACTCGAAATGGATAAAAGACCTCAATGTGAGACAGGAATCCATCAGAATCCTAGAGCAGAACATAGGCAGTAACCTCTTCGACATTGGCCACAGCAACTTCTTTCAAGATATGTCTCCAAAGGCAAAGGAAACAAAAGTGAAAATGAACTTTTGGGACTTCATCAAGATCAAAAGCTTCTGTAACTGCACATTTAAATCCCTGGATTGGTTACTGATTTCCCTGTATGTTTTTGTAGTCATTCAGTCAGTGTTTGATTCAGAAAGTTCTGTAGATATTGGTCCTGAGCTTTAAGCTCAGTCCACTGTCGCACTGGTGTATAGTAATGATAACTATGCAGCTTATATATTTTACTTCCCAAATATCAGGCAAAAAATTTGATAAACGAAGTTGACTTTATAGAATAATACTGTCAGGGAAAGTACTACTTGGACAGAGCCTTAGCAGATTATTGGAGGTGGTGGGGCAGGAGAGATATTTATTCAGATTTCGAAGTTGGTATAGAGCAGGTCAATCAATTTGGGGGAGGGTGTGATTAAGATGGGTAAGAAGAGTGATAGAATGGGTTAGGTTTGGTGGATACAGTAAGACAAGAATATTAAGACAAAGTTTCAATATTTCTTGTGGTTGAAAAACGTCCTTTTGTACTTTTTACTGAAGAGTTTATGAATCCTAAGGTAGTTCCTGGAACGGACAATAAAGTTATTTTCAACTTTTATCTTCCTGGGCAACAGACTATTGTGATAGTAAAGTTATGTTGATGAGGCCCACAGAATCATAAACTCTCCTTAATGTAACTAGTAAGTTGTATGTGTGTGTGTGTGATTCCCTTATTATTTGCTTCTGTGTAACTTATCAGTTGACTGTTTTAGGTAATATATGGAAGTGAAGGAAAGGAAGAGTACCCTGATGAGCACATAGCTTTTTGTAATTAAATTAGAACATATTTTTAAGCTGACTCATATATTCCATTCAACTGGGCCTAACTTAAAGAAATAAATTGAATTCAGAAAGGGAGGGATGTGTATGTATATGTTTGTAAAAACAGTTTGAAAAGGATTTGTGGTTCTTCTTTTATAAATGACAGCAGTCACAATTCCCAGTCTTTTGTTTAGTCTATCATATATATAGATATGGTATATATATATGAATATATGTATTTACTCAGCAAAGAGTATCTTTGCTATCTTTGCTAACTATCATTACCAAATATTACTTTCTTACCCTCCTAAATCTCTATTCCTAGTGCAGCGCACTCAGGAAGTAACAAAAAATCCTAGGAGATAGTTACTTTTCCTCCTTACACCTAACTTGCATATGGCAAAATTCATGTCATCCAATGACTTTATGGCTTGTGGGTCATGGGCTTTCTTGATTTCTAAATTGTTCCCTTTCACGTTCAAGGACAGACGTCAACCTGATGCCAATATTTAACTTCCTATTTTGCTCCTGTGGACTTTAAGCCCTGGCCAACTCAATGAATTCATACGTCCATAATTTGAATTTGGATGAAAGGAAGCTGTGAGGTAGTTCTTGTGATATACTGGATGCCACAGAAATTATAGAAGACATTGTGGAGGTAAGAAAAATTGTCTTATAGGTGACCCAAGTACTCTCTCTGGCTGCTAAGCAAGTAGCTACAGCTGAGACTGACAGCAGGCCCCCTTTCTGCAGAACTGCTGCAACTTCCCTCAAGAGAAGATGTTTCCTTCCATCCAACCAGGACACTCTAAGAACAAACTTAAAACCCTACAGGACTGAGGGGCTGCATTCACAGATTCTGGGCAGTGGTATTTCCCAGAGACCCCTAAAGGGCTGACATCTAAGTTTAACCTGCTTGGTCCTTAAGGCCAAAATTATTCCCCACCATGTGCAGTGCAAACCTCATACTTGCTTC